CATATGTAATATATATTTATCCATATTTAGATAGATTTTATATATGTAATTCATAATATATCTTTATATAAAAGTTATATGTATTTCTGTATATCTCATATATATTATCTGGTTATAGAAATATATAGATTTTCTATACATATATAAATTATACATGTATATTCTAAACTGTCTGGAATATATATAATATATATTTATCTATAATATATTGAGATTTATACATGTATAAATTATATATACATAATATATGTATATGTAATAGATTTTTATATATAATATAATATATATAGAAAATCTATATATAAATTATATGTGTGTTATAAATGATATAGATTAAACATATAACTTCATATAAATAATATATAATGAATATAATAATTATATATTAATATATAAATATATATTCTATATATATAATATATAAATATAAATATATTTCTATATAATATCTATCTCAACATGACTTGTCTATCTCGCATTGGCCTTTTTATTCATCAGAGTGCTCGTAGCAAGCGTGGGTAGAGCCCTTCTCAAATCTTCATTCACAAAGCCCAGCCAGGATGATGATGATAACATATATATATCTCATATATATTACCTAGTTATATAACTTTTCTCTCTCTATATATGAATTCTACATGTATATTATAAACTCTATAATTTTTATATATAATATATATTTCTATTTAAATAGATTTTCTATTTCTAATTAATAATATATATTTCGATATATTTTATATATAATATATATGTATATTATAAATTATATTGATTAAATATATATAACTCTATAAATAATATATGATGAATATAATAGGTATATAATAATACATAATAAATACATTAAATAAAATATAAAAATTATATCTATTTCTATATAATATATATCTCATATATGTTATCTTGTTATAGAAATATATAGATTTTCTATATATATAGAAATTATACATGTATATTATTAACTGTATATAATTTATATATATATTTATCTATAGTCTCTTTAAATATATTTTATATATGTAATTCAGAATATAATATATAATATAATATATATTTCTATTTAAATAGATTTTCTATATGTAATTGATAATATAAATATAAATCATATAGAATAAATATATAACTTTATATAAGTGATATATAATGAATATAATATGTATTACATAATAAATATATAAAATAAAATCTATAAAAGTTATATGTATTTCTGTATAACATATATATCATATATATGTATGTCTGTATTATATATCTCATATCTATTACCTAGTTATAGTAATATAGAGATTTTCTATATATTACATGTATATTATAAACTGTCTATTATATAGATATTATATTAATTTATCTATAGTATATTTAAATAAATTTTATATATGTAATTCAAAACATATTTATATATTTTATATTACATATATAAATGTATATATGTATATATAAATTATGTATGTATATTAAAAATTATATTGATTAAATATATATAACTATATAAATAATATATGATGAATATAATAGGTATATAACAATACCTAATAAATACATCAAATAAAAAAATTATATCTATTTCTATATAATATATATCCCATATATAATATCCAGTTATAGAAATACATAGATTTTCTATTTATATAAATTATACATGTATTCTCAAATCTTCGTTCACGAAACCTAGTCATGATGATTATTGTATATAATTTATAAATAATATAATTTTCTCTATATTTAGATAGATTTTATATATGTAAATCAGAATATATATTTATATATTATATAAACAAATCATTATAAATTATATATGTGTATAATAAATTATATAAATAAATATATAACCATATAAATAATATATAATGAATAAAATAATATATAATAAATATATAAAATAAAAGATATAAAAGTTATATGTATTTCTGTATATCTCATATATATTATCTCATTATAGAAATATATAGATTTTCTATACATATATAAATTATACATGTATATTATAAACTGTCTGGAATATATATAATATATTTTTATCAACAATATATTTACATTAATATATGTAGTATATACTTATCTATATTTGTATATATAATATATAATATATAATTCATAATATATATTTATATATTTTTATATATATTATATATAATATATAGTGAAAATCTATATATAAATTATATAAGTTATATAGATTAAACATTTAACTTTATATATATAATAAATAATGAATTTAATAAGTATATAAAAATTATATGTATTTCTGTATAATATCTATCTCAACAGGACTTGTCTATCTGTCATTGGGCCTTTTATCCATCAGAGTGCTTGTAGCAAGCGTGGGTAGAGTCCTTCTCAAATCTTCAAATTCATGAAGCCCAACCATGATGATGACGATAATATATGTCTCATATATATTACCTAGTTATATAAATATATAGATTTTCTATATATATTTGAGTTATACATGTATATTATAAACTCTATAATTTATATATATTATATATATTTAAATAGATTTTCTATATGTAATTCATAATATATATTTTTATATATTTTATATATAATATATTTAGATTTTCTATATCATAAACTATGTGTATTATAAATTATATAGAATAAATATATAACTATATATAAGTAATTTAATAAATTATACATGTAAATTGTATATGAATATTATAAATTATATCGAATAAATATATATAACTATAAAAATAATACATAATGAATATAATAGGTATAAAATAATACATAATAAATAAATAAAAAAATATATAAATATATATTTCTATAAAATATATATCTCATATCTATTATCTAGTTATAGAAATATATAGATTTTCTATATATATAAATTGTATATTATTAACTGTATATAATTTATATATATAATATATATTTATAGTCTACTTAAATAGATTTCCTATAGTAATTCAGAATATTTACTTATATAATATATATAATATATCTTTATAAATTATATATGCATATTATAAATTTTATATATATATAACTATATTAATAATATGTAATGAATATAAGTATATAATAACAAATAATAAATATGTAAAATAAAAGATATAAAAGTTATATGTATTTCTGTATAATATATATCTCATATATATTATCTGTTATAGAAAGACATAGATTTTCTATACATATATAAATTATACATTTATATTATAAACTGTCTGGAATATATATAATATATATTTATCTATAATATATTTAGATTTATATAGATTTTCTATATATATATAAATTATGCATGTATATTATAAACTGTCTATTATGTATATTATATATATTTATGTCTAATATATTTAAATAGATTTTATATACGTATGTCATAATATATATTCAGATATTATATATCATATATATTTTTAAATTATATATGCACATTATAAATCATATAGATAATATATAATTTTATATAAATAATATAAAATTAATATAAGTATATAATAATACATAATAAATAAATAAAATAAAATATATAAAAGTTATATGTATTTCTGTTTGATATTTATCTCATATATATTATCTGGTTATAGAAATATATAGATTTTCTATATATATATAAATTATGCATGTATATTGTAAGCTGTCTGGAATCTATATAATATATTTATCTATAATATATTTAGATTTATATATGTATTTCATAATATATATTTATATATATTTTATATATATAATATATAATATATATAGAAAATCTATATATAAATTATTATATGTATGTTATAAATTATGTAGATTAAATATATAACGTTATATAAATAATGTATAATGAAGTAATAATACATGATAAATATATAAAATAAAATATATAAAAGTTATATGTATTTCTGTATAATATATATCTCACATATATCTATATATATAGATTTTCTCTTTCTAAATTATACAGTTATATTATAATCTGTATATAATTTATATATGAAATATATATTTACCCATAAATAACTTATACGAATATGTAATGAATGTAATAAATGTGTAATTAAACTATATAATAAATATATTAATGATTTGAATAGTATCAACACTCACTATATTATTAATATTTTATAATTATAAAAATATAATAAATATTTATTTTCATGCATAAATTTAATATGAAAATTATATTTGTGATATATATTATATGTTATCTATTTATATAGATTTTCTATATATAAATTATATATAATATATATCAAAAGAGATAATGAATTTAATAGATATATACAATAGAATATATAAATATTTTTAGTAATCTGCTGCAGCTCTTGGAATCCATGCTCACAGTCGATTTGGTGCATGAGATTGAGGGTGTGTGCTTGTGTTTATATATATATTTATTATTGTATTGTTAGGGTTTTATATGTTTATATTTATATATATATATGTATAACACACCCAGGTATAGATAAAATATAGGTATATATATTTAAATGTATATTTTATACACACCTACATAAATATAAATGGGATCCTGCCTCTTCCTTGCTGACCTTTTCCTTGGTGTCCCAGGTATCCCAAGCCTGGGCAGGAGGGAAGGCGGGAGTGTGTGGGATTCACCAGGACTGAGGTGCTGCCCCTGCTCCCTACAGTGGGATTTGGGATCTCCAGGGTATCCCTGCACCCCTGCTGGGCCACCCACACCCCAGCCAGCCAAAAACCCTGCACGAAGAGTTCCCAGCAATGAAAAATCTCATTTTGGGTTTTTTTTGCCCCCATTTTATACCAAATTTAGGGCTGATTGTGCAGCAAATCTTCCCCTGGGCTCACAAAGGTGCAGCCCTGGTTGCTCATCCCAGTTGAGAGCATCCCCTTGAAATCAGGCAGGAAAAACCTCCCATCCCATAATAAATCAGTCGTGGGAAGAGGTCAGAGCCCCATCCTCCTACCCTAAATCCCAGAGGGATCAGAGCTCCCCCCTCCTACCCAGCCAGTTGGCACAGAAGGGGAACAGAGCCTGGGTGGTTTTAAAATACTTTATTTTTAATCCTTAAAAAATACCAGGACGACATTTAACAACCTTCGTTCCACATCCCGCATGACGTCTTGCTTTCTTTTTTTCCACCCATAAAATTAACATTAGCATAAATAATTCTGGGATGCACAAGGAGCACGCTGCTGCCCAACAGCACCATCAGCTGCTTTTGGGGGACCCCAGGTATGTACAGGTATGATACACGTGAGGGCCCTCCTGGCCACGAGCTCTCCCAAACTGCTCCCTTGGGAGAAAATCCATCAAACTGCTTTGAATTCCCTTTTTTTTTTTTTTTTTTTTTTTTTAATAGTTTTTATTTTATTTTTTCCCTCCTTCGACAGGTAAATATTTGTAGAATAATTATGTACAGCTGGACACCGGAGATTTGCATTAAGGTGCTTTCACTCGCTATCGTTTCATTCAGTGCATTCAGAAGGCGGCAAATTAAAATCTCCACCTTAATTACTCCTGTCAACGAAGGCAGTTTGAGAGCCGTGGCCAGCAAAGCCCAGGGAATGCTGCAGCCCCGCCACAGGAATGAGCAATCCTCGTTTGTTTTGTTTCTTTTTTTAATGGATATTGTTATTGTAAAGAGTTTTGCAGCCCCGTGGTTTGTCCCAGCCCACGGGACACGTCGCTGTGGTGGCCCCTCATCGCCTGTGTCGCTGCCACCTCGCTGCAGACCCAGCCCGAAGCTCCTCTTGGGGTGGATTTTTGGGCGTGTTTAAGGGTGTTTTTTTGGCTTTTGGACCGGTTCAGGTGATGTCACACGAAGGGGTGTTCTCTCCTCTCGGTGCAAACCCAAGCTCAGCACCCAAATCCCTCGGGATGGAGGTGACCTCCTGCTCCGGAGCTGGCGAGGGGCCGGGAGGGGGCACAGGGGGCTCCTGGCCCCGGCAGTGTCATTCCAGCCCCATGGAATTCTGCTCCTGCTCCGCCGCTCTCCTGCGGTTCCCGCTCTTAAAAAATCCCAGCTGTGGGGAGGAAAGAGAAACAAAACCCCCCTGTTATCTCAGGGCATTGCTGGGAAGAGTTTCTCCTTTAAGGGGGTACCTCCAGGGGGTTTAGAACCTGGATATAGAAAATATGGAAGAGGAAAGAGGTTGGAGGAGCTTTTGGTGATTCCTGGTGGTGCTGAGGCGCTCGGGGGGTGTGGGCATGGAGCTGTGGGGCGAAGGGGTCTGTCCATGCACAGGGGTCTCCACTGAGCCCCCAAAACACGTGGCTTAGGGGCTGCTCACCTTCCAGAGAGCGAGGACGAGCAGGGCCAGGAGGAGGAGACCTCCTAAGGTGCTCCCCAGGATGATCCAGATGGGGATCTGTGACTCCTCGGGCTTGGAGATCTCAAATGTGATCTGTGAGGAGAGAGCACCAAAGGTGATCCGTGAGGAGAGAGCACCAGTGGTGATCTGTGAGGAGATAACACCAAAGGTGATCTGTGAGGAGACAACACCAAATGTGATCTGTCAGAGCCACAACTGCACCAAGTTTCTCCAGGCTCTGCAGAGCTCAGTGCTTGGTGTGTGTCACTCCAGCCCTTCTGCCAACCACAGTGCTTTTCTGGGATCAGAGCAGGGTGTTGGAGTATCCCAAAGCTCCGGATCCCTGTGTGCCCATCCCACGGGGGCTCACCTGGCGGCTGGGATCCTCCTCCCGGAAGATGAAGGGGCTCCCGAAGCGTCGCTGGAGAGCGGCGTTCGTGGTGAGCTTCAGTGACTTGAACTTCAGCTGCACAAAGAGGTGCTGGAGATGAGCAGAGGACCCACCACCCCCGTGGGTGCCCCCCCCTCCCCATGGCTCTGCATCCCTCAGGAACGCCGTGGGCACATCCGCGGGGCAGGAGGATGCAGGTCAAGCAAAGAGTGTGGCTGAATGACAGCAAAAAGGACTTTTAAAATGAGTTAAGTTTGGATTAATTAATTATGAGATTAAATTCCAGCCATGTGGGATGCTGGATGCACACACCAATGGAATATGTGGGCTTTGGAAACAAAAATCACCCCACACGTCCGGGCTCAATGGGAGGGAAGAAATCGTGGGACAGGAAAAAACAGGCATTTTTGGGGTGTGAGGGCTCCTTTGGGGGATTTCTCCTCTAAATCCACATGCCCACTTACTGCTTTCAGAGACTTCATCCACAGATTGCCACGCAAGTGCAAGTTCATCTCCTCGTTGGGGGCTAATTTCACGTGGCAGTCGATGGAAACCACGTCGGAGTTGCTGTGGTTCTGTGGGGGGAGAGGTTTGTGGGGAAAAACCCTCTGGGATCCACCCCTGGCACACTGAGGGGAGTGAGAACCAGATGCCAGTGGAGGGACCTTGTGCCCGTGCTCCCCTGTGGCCGTGGGGCATCCCTGTTCCAGGGTTTTCCCTCATTTTGGGGGCAGCCCAGACCCAGGATCCGGGATCAGCCCCATGGGGTGTGTACCAGGTGAGGGGTGCGGGTCAGGTCCTCCTCAGCCGGGGTCCTCCTGTAGTCAGTGGTGTTCCCCCAGAGGCTGCAGGTTGTGTTCTCCTGTGGGAGAAGCCCAGGCGTGGGCACAGGGACCACGGCAGCCACACTCCCCCAAAATCCACCCACAAGCACCCATCCCTGTGCTGGGCTCCTTCCATGGGCTCAGGATGCTCTGGGATCTGCTCCCAGCCCTCACACCCCTCCCATGCTCACTGCAGCCAGGAGTTCACCCCAGGCACAGCTTCCCAGACCCTCAGGAATCCACTGCACACCGGAGGGAGGTTGAGTTCGGAGAAATATTTGGACTAAACCCTTTGGCCACTGCCATTTTCCACCTTTGCAGCCAAGAGAATGCAGAAAGGGAGGGGCCCGGGCGGGAGCCAAGGCTGTGCATGCAGGTGCTGCAAAAGAGACAGACCATGGCACTCCTCCACCCCCATCCCCGTGCAGGAGGGACCCTGAACTGGGGTGCAATCCCACCCTACCTGGTCCAGCAGGAAGTCAGTGAGGAGCAGGAGGCGATTGCCTGCCCGGGTGGCCACGGGGACGGTGATCCTGATGGTCACCCCCTCCACGGGGAAGAAGCCCAGGTTCTGCAGCTGGGAGGGGAGAGGACAGGGATGTGACTGTGGCACATCCCACCTCCGGGGTGGCGCTGGGGGGGTCCCTCAGCCGGTTGGAGCCCCTCCTCATCCTCACCTTGAAGGTGCAGTGGAAGGGGGGGCCGATGCTGTCGTATCTCTCCAGGGAGCTGTTGGACCTGACCTCGTAGTAGTCCAGGCTCGATGTCCTGTTGTCACAAGGGGTGACAAGTCGTGAGCTGGGCTTGGAATGAAGCGTCCCAGCACTCCCAGCCCCTCCCCAGGCAGGGCTCGAGGTCCTCCTGGCTCCATTTCAGATGGAAATCAGCACCTGACTCCCCCTCGTGCAAAAAACCCCAGGGATTTTAATGCTCCTGCAGGACTTTCCCTTTCTTTGCAGGATTTTCTCGCCTTTTTAATAAAACAGAGACATCCAAGGCCCTGGCAGGGTGTCTGAGTGTCATGTGTGAGTCAGAGGAGGTAAATCAATCTCTGGTTTGCAGCTGGAGAGGAGGGGAAGGAGCCAGGAGCATCCAAAGGGTCCTGTGGGATCCCATCCAGGAGCACCTGCGATGGGACATGTGCTCACCCATGTCATGGCATGGGACACATGGCCCCAAATCCCCACATTCTCTGCAGTTATTCCCCCTTTTTTCACCCCAAGGTTCCCAAATTTGATATATTTTTTTGGTTGTTCTTTCCCTCCAAGTTTTCCCTTGGAGGAGAATGATTCTGGTATTTGTTAAGAGGAGAATCCCCTCGCTCCCCATAAATCCTGAGTGTTAAAGTGGTTTTATTTTCAGTGCCTTAGGCTAAAAAAAACTCCATAAATACAAAATGACTGAAGGTCTCAAAAATCTCCTCAGGATGACAGCAAGCAGTGCCAGGAAATGTGCTTCTGGGGTCCATGATTTTTCCTATCATCAGGTTAATAGATTATTTGTGCCTTCACCCCTCACTCTCCCAGACTTGAGTTACTGGTGATTCCACACACATCCCTCAGCTGAGCTTCTCTCCCGTGGCTTTAGTGGGATGGCAAATGGCCCAGACACTGGAAACACCTGTTATGGACATTATTACCTACAAGAAGTAAATTTTTTTCCCCTTAAAAAATTGCCCTCACACCTCTTCATTAACACTTGTGCCTGTGAATGTGGTGAGAGCACACACTGGTGATTTTTATAAGGGATGGCCCGGATTTTATGGGCCCTTCAGCCCCCGTTTTTAAAGAGATTCCCCAAATTAAAGCTGGGTTTGCACTGGGCTGTGTTTGAATCCAGCTCCCACTTGGTTTTCCCAAGGGTTTTCCTTGCGGTCTGGGACCTCCCAGGAGCTGCAGCCCCTTCCCAAACACACACCTGGTGAAGAGCAGGTCGGCCTCGTACTTCAGGTGGAAATTGAGGTGGGCAAAGTTGTCCTCCTTGGTGCTCTCCTTCTCCTCACTGTCACTGGAACAGCAGCAGGGCCAGAGGGGGTGAGGCAGGAGCCTGATGCCCTCTGATATTTTTTGGGGGGGTCATAGGAAGGGAAAGGGCTGAACTTCTGCTTTTTGGTCAAAGCGTAAAGATAAAGCAATTTTGTTCTGTGATTTTTTTAATCCATCTACATAAAAGGCTGGAGAGAGGTGTCACACCCAGCAGCCTCTACGTGGTGCAGGTGAGTCCCCCTCTGCTCTAATAACTGATGAAAATTAAAAAAAAAATATTAATCTGTAATGAAATTTCACTTTCCTGTTGGAAATCTCTCCCTGTGCAGGAAGGGTGAGGAAGGAGAATTTTGAGATATTTTTTCCTGGGAAATCTTTGCAGTGTGAGGGTGGATGAGAAAGGAACCCTGGCTGGAGATTCAGCAGAGCCTGGCAGTGACTGCACAGCCTCACACACATGGGAAAATGATGGGTATAAATATAAAGATAAATAAAACCAGCCTGATTTGTGAGCACGGGGATGGAAATCAGGTTCCCTTGTGGGTATTCCCTGGGTGAAGCCTCCAGGTTGCTCCAGGATGCTCCATCCCTGCAAGTGTCCAAGGCCAGGCTGGACAGGGCTTGGAGCAACCTGGACTGGTGGAAGGTGTCCCTGCCCATGGCAGGGGATGGGATGGGATGAGCTCTAAGGTCCCTTCCAACCCAAACCATTCCAGGATTCCATGATCCCGTTGCCCCCACAAAGATGTTCAAGGGAGAAAGCCACCACTGACCTGCTGGCAATCATGTAGATCTCCATGTTCTCCAAGAAAACCGACTTGCTGAACTCAAAATCCAGGCGAAAAGCTACCTGTGGAGTGGGAAACAGAGTGGGGAAAACACGAGGGGGAAAAACATCCCCCAGGAGGGATGAGGGACTCTGGGTTAGAGCATCGCCACGATGCTGCCGGGTTGGAGCAGAGCCTTTCCAAGGACAGAGGAGGATTTACAGGATTTATTCCAGCCCCTCATGCTGCATTTTTCCCCCCTGAGGCTGGAGAAGGGAGCAGTTCCCCTTTGGAAGGGGATTCCTCCCGGGGAGCGGCAGTGAGAGGCCGCTGCGCTCGCTCCATCTGCGGCCCGGGGGAGGCAGCTGAGAGAGCCAACAACAATAAAATGTGATAAATGTCACATCTGCAGCCTGTGGCAATGACCTCAAACTGTCTGGGACAGCACAGCTGACTATAATATTAAAGCTCCTGCTGCTCTGGGGCCAAATTTCCATTTCCAGCTTGTCTTTGCTTTGGCAGGACCTGCAGTACCTGGTGCCACGCAGATGCATTCCCAGCCCCCCGAGGTCATGGGGAGCTGGGCTGGGGCTCCTCGGGCAGCCACAGGCATCTGAGAGGGCTTTTTTGGGAGCTTGAAAGCCGAGTGAGGTGCCTGGAGCTCATTCATCATCATCAGCCTTCTGACAAGGAAAAGCTTCAGATGGATACAGGAGCTGGGGAGATTTTATCTCCACATCACTCTTGTGTTGGCCACTCTTCCCACGAGGGTGCAGGGTGAGATTTCACATGGATGCCCAGTGGCTGCATCTCCTCACTTTTCCTTCCCCCTTTATTGCTGCATTTAATGCTTGCAAAGGGCTTTTTGTCTTATAAAAATGATGCTCACAGGACCTGAGCTCATCCTGAGTGCTGGGAACTACTGGGAGCTGTGGTTCAGGGGGTACCACCAGCCCAAAGGGGCTTGGACAGGCTCAGAGCAGGCTCCAGAGCCACCTCAGGGCGAGGAAAACCTCTCAGGCAGGGAAGGTTGACAGCTTGCTCCTCATCCCCATGGAGCTCAGGGAAGTCACCATCAGTGGTTTGAAGCCAACATTAAATCGCTGCAAAGGCCTGGAGTCCAATTCTGTGACCTGCAGGAGCTGGGTTTGACTCTGGGGCTCTCCCAGCACCAAGGCAGCATCTCAACCACTTCTAGCATACCTTTCCAACTCCAACAACAGGTGGAGAAAGAGAAGAAACCAAATCTTTGCCTTTTAAAGTCCTGTTCAAAGCTGCCCAGCCCAGCAGATGGATGGGTGCGACCCCATGGTCACGCTGGGGGCAGAGGGCTCCTGTCCCACGGGTGAAGCCTCAGCTGGGCAGGAGGGACATCTTTACCTTGGCCTTGGCTCTGAAGAAGGGGTAGCTGACGTTGCACACTCTCTTGTTGGGGTGCCTGTCGTCAGCCGTGCAGTCGATGTTGACGTCGGTGTCGTCCTAAAATGGGACACAAAGTGCCCGTGAGGTTGGAATGAGCCCCTTGGCCACCTCATCCTGAGAGCAGGAAACACACCCATGGGGCTCAAAGTGGGCTTGACCTTTGGGAGAAACAACCAACCAGCCAACAAACCCACCAGGCAAAAAAACCAACAAAATAACAGTCGTGAATGAAGGAACAGGACAACCAACCCCCCCCAGAAAAACAACCTCCCAATCCACCCCGCTTGCTGCAGGCTGGGAATCCTTCCCACAGATTCCTTGACATTCCTGGAGAGGGGCATTTCTAGCAAACAACTTCCAGCCTTCTGATTTAAATCCTCTTTATGAATTGAGTGGATGAGCAGTGAATGAATGAACCCGCCTGTTCTTGGCACTGGAATCAGGAAGGAGATTTTCCCGTGATGAGGAGTCCCCAGGGAGCACCAAGGGATAACAGGAGCTCATTTTCTGCATGGCCATCAGCTAAACCATGGTGTTTAATTTCCTCACCTCAACAATTACATTCCTGCTGCTGGAACACCTTCCATGTCTCCAGCTCCCTGCAAAGCCCAATCCCAGGTGGAATGGGAAGGGATGGGATGGGACACCAACCCTGCTCTGCCTCCTCTGCAGCCCTGCAAGAGGCTGTAGCCTGGCTGTGAGCAGCTGTCCACCCTCACCATGAGACAAAGAGCTATTCCAGCTTTTACCCCTGCCTTAGACCCCTCAAGGGTCTCAGTTTGAGCTGCTGCCACCGGACAAGTCCTGCCAGGAGCAGAAACATCCCAGTCCTTGAGAGCCCCCAGCAGGAGCCTGGAGCTTCCTCCCACTCCCCTGCTGAGATTATGGACTTCTTAGGGCCACAGCTACTTATTACTTACCTTACACCCATCCCCTGGAGTTGGCAGTATGCTGATTTCTGAGGAGCAGCAGCCAGGCCCCCTTTAGCAGTGACACTTCCATAACCAGCTGCAAATATTTCCTACCCCCACTCCTGCTCAAGGCCTTCTGTCACCCACCACTGGTAGGGCTTCCCCCCCTCACTTAATCTGCAGTAAAGCCCTCAAAAAATGCATTTTTCTTCTTTTGTGGGCAGCGTGCCCCACAATTTTCCCTTGGCAAGGCCTGGAGGAAAACAGAGGCAGGAGATGGGATCTGTGGTGGGGATGAAGTCATTGGGGGGATGAGGGAGGGCTCAGCAGCATCAGCACATTTCCCAAACCTCGCTGGGAAAAGGGAGGAGTCACGTGGAGATCAAGAGAGTGGTGGGGGTGAAATTTTGAGGAGGGGGGGAGTGGATGGGCCACAGGGGGCTCATCCAGGGGACAACCGTAGAGAGGTGGCATCACCCTGAGCTGTGACCACACTCCCACCATCAGCCCTTACTTCCAGGAGATACATCTCAGCTGTAAAACTCCCCCCTTGACAGGAACTTGGCCACGGGTGGGGAGTATTTTTAAACTACCAGAGTAGAAAAATAAAGAGGGGAAATAATTTCATCTGCCTCCGACCTTCTTTCAGGCTCTTAAAAACCCCTGCGTTTCCAAAATAAAGAGCTGGAAGGGCTGGAAGTGCTTAGAGACGAAGCCCATAAACATGCCTGATTTATGAGGGATGGAGACACTTTTTTGGGCTCTGCTTTGGGACGCGGCTTCCTCCTCCGGCTGGGATCGGGAGCGTCCCCGAAGAGGCCCGGCTGTTCCCGGGGGAGCCTCACCTTGGGGATGAGGCTGGCGAGCTGCAGGTTCCTGGAGAAGGAGATGTTGAGGACGGTGCTGTAGGCGTTCTCCCCGCGGTTCTCCAGCGTGGCCTCCACCGCCACCCTCCTCCTGCTGCTCTCCAGCACGAACACGGAGCCGTCGAAGGACAGGCTGAAGGCCGAGCATTCCGGGGGGCCCCTCCGGAGCACCCGCCGGCAGAACTCCCTGAAACAGGGGGGGAAATTCCCGGGGTGTTGAAGCCCACAGTGCGTGGGAATCCTCCCCGGCTCTCCCTCTGTCCCGATGGGCTGCTATGGAAGGAGGAATCAAATTCCTCCCGCTGTCCAGTGTTTTGCTTGCTGGGATTTTGGGCTGATGGGGTGGAGCTTCGTCAGGCATCACCAGGAGGGCTCAGGACAGATGGGATGCAAGGAAGGCAGATCCCATGCCATCAGCAAAGGTGGCTCCAAGCCCCATCCAACCTTGGACACTCCCAGAGGTGCAGGGACAGCCACAGCTTCTTTGGTAAAACTGTGCCAGGGCCTCCCCACCCTCCCAGCCAGGAGTTCCTTCCCAATATCCCATCTAACCAACCCTCCTCGTCCTGTCCTTCCAGGCCTTTGTAAATAGTCCCTCTCCAGCTCTCCTGGAGCCCACTTAGGAAGGGGCTCTCAGGTCTCCCTGGATTCTTCTCTTCTCCAGGTGAGCCCCCCCAGCTCTCCCAGCCTGGCTCCAGAGCAGAGGGGCTCCAGCCCTGGGAGCAGCTCCGGGCCCTCCTCTGGACTCACCAAATAACCTTTAAAAAACCAAAACTCCTTTAAAAAACCAAAAAACCTTTAAAAGCTCTTCAGCCAACGAGCTGTGCTGTGCAATTATTTCCTGTGCGTGAGTCAAGCCTGTAATTGCCAGGTGGGTAATGCCAGCCTAGCATTTATTCCCCCCCTGTTATTTACTGATTTGTCTCCCTGGGACTCATCACCATGGCACCAAATATTAGTTGTTTTGTGGGTTCCCTGGAAAAACACTGATTCATTCCAGACAGGGAGCAGGCAGAGGCTCAGAGAGCTGCTGGAGCACCTCGTGGAGGGGCTGGATGAACCTCGTGGTGGTGCTGGGTGAAGCACCAGCTGCAATGTCAGAATTTAGGGAACATGGGCTGGGGATGGATTTTTGGAGCCTCCCCCAGTTTGTGATACTGGTTGGAGGGTGTTCTGGGTGAGCTACTCACATGGCACTGGGGACATCACTCCTGGCATCCAGGACCAGGTCAGGGACACAGTGCTCGTCCTCATTGCACCCATTCCAGAAAGGGACCTGAGGGGGACAATGGGAGCAGCTCAGGGACCATTTGTGCCCCAGGCTGGGGACACAGGCGGTGACACCAGGCTGCAGCAGTGCCCAACCCACCCTGTCACAGGACAAAGGTTACACCCAGAGATCCATCTGCTGAGCAGGTGCCTGATAAAAGGTCCCCTAGGAGGTGGGTGCTGCACCTACCGAGACCCTGAGGGAGGTGGGCCACCCATCATCCAGCATGGGGCCATGCTCCGGGTGCTCCAGCTCGTAGTCGATGGAGAACGTCACCGGCTTCACGTAGTCCGCCGTGTCCTGTGGGTGGGAAGGGCCAGTGAGGAGGACAGGGCTGCTCTCGGGGAGGGGCAGCACCACAGGGTGTCCCCTCAAGGGGGGACAGGTCTGTCCTGCAGCCCCAGCCGGTAAGGAAGCTCCAGGAGCTCCCCAGGCCTGCAGAGATGCTCCGGGGTGAGACGCTTCTTGGGCTTAAATCACAAGCTCCGTCTCGAGCTCCAGCCTCAAACTTCCCAGAAGTTCAGTGCAGTTCAGGCCAGGGCTTGGGGCCAGGCCAGTCTGGCAGCTCGGTCCTGCCTGGCCTCCACAATATTCTCATCATTCCCTGGGAATGTTTGCCTTTGGCCAGGTTTGTGCATCAGCTGCTCCCCGCGAGCGAGGCAGAGGGTTCTGCCAGCTCTGCACCCAGGGGTGGGACCCTGCTGGTTGGAGGGTGCACAGGGTGAGCCCAGCAGGGACTGGCATGGAGGCACTCAGTTCCTGATGGAAACAAGGAGAGTTCTGGAGCAGGAGGACCAGCCTGCTCCAGGGATCAGGAGTGCACGCCCTCCCCGAGGGCACGGCCCGTGGATCAGAGCACACACAAGCTGGGCCTGAATGAAGTCAGTGCCTGGGGACCCAGCAGCTGCCACGTGCTGGCAGCTCCATCCCTGACCACATCAAGCCCAGCGGGAAGCGACCCAGGCTGCGGGATGACGCTCACTCCCAGCCCCGAGAAACCTTCGAGGCTCCAGCAACAACACCCCGGCTCATCCCCGCACAGAGCACCCTCAGCAGGGCTGGCTGGGGAGGAGACCCCCGCCTGGAGCTCCCACAGACTCACCAGGACGTGGAAGGGGAGGCTCTGGCAGCGCTCCTGCCCAGCCGGCAGCACCAGTGCCCTCTGAGCCGGCCGCTCGCCGCCCTCGTCCAGGTGAGCCCTCGGCGTGTAGCGTCGTTCATCCAGCGTGGTGTTGAAGCGCAGCCCTGCGGGGACAGCGGGGTTCAGGGGGGCTCAGGGGGGCTCAGGGCTCACACACCAAAACATCCCCTCCGAGGGTGTGCTCCTGAGCCCTGGGAGCAGCCTGGTAAGGAGCACACTGAGGGGAATCCGGGAGCATCGGGCTGTGGCCAGCTCTGCCTGTGTCTGACGGACATTCCTGTGGGGCAGAGCAGCTGCTCTGCAGGAGGAGCTTTAGGAAGGCATCGTGGCATTGACTGCCGGACACTGCTTCGAATCGGGGCAGGAGACACAATTATTTGCTCCCATGGATTCACATGGAGGCCTGGAGCTGTTCTGGGGGTATCCTACCCCACCATGCTCCTGGCCTGGATGCTTTATGGAGATCATTTGCTTCCTGCACTGCTGGTGGAAAGAGACTGAAGATTCCCAACCCAGTTCCAAGCAGGGTGGCATTTCACAGAAGCACAGAATCCCAGAATGGTTTGGGTTGAAAGCACCTCAAAATGCATCGCATTCCACCCTCAGGGACACCCTCCACTAGCCCAGGTTGCTCCAAGCCCCATCCAACCCATTCTTGGACACTTTCAGGGATGGGACAGCCACAGCTTCTCTGGGCAACCTGTGCCAGGGCCTCCCCACATTCACAGCCAAGAATACCTTCCCAATATCCCATCCAATCCTTTTGTCCTGTCCCTCCATGCCTTGTCCCCAGTCCCTCTCCAGTTCTCCTGGAGCCCCTTTAGGCCCTGGAAGGGGCTCTCAGGTCTCCCTGGATCCTTCTCTTCTCCAGGTGAACCCCCCCCAGCTCTCCCAGCCTGGCTCCAGAGCAGAGGGGCTCCCACTACACCAGTGTGATGTAAAACATGGATAAGGAAGGAGCCACCATCAGCCCCATCCATGGGGTGGCTCTTCCGGGTGGAAACAAGTGTAAAATCAAATAAATAAAGACAACCCCACTCAGATTTTTACCCTGCAGGAGGAAAACACTGGCTTGGGCAGTACAAAACAAAACTCCTGCTCGGGGGGGATGGGAGTTTTTCCTTTGGCTTTGCTCAGTTCCTGGTTTTCCTATGACAGGGGATGAGTTGCTCTCACTTCCCCCGCTCCGCTGAGTCACCGGGAAGCATCCGGGGGGAGACTCGGGGTCACAGCAGCCCAGAGATTCCCTGGGATGAGGGAAAACACGCACATGTGGTCGGCAGCTGTGTCCTGCTGCTGCAGGGGGAGGAGGGATGGGTTCTGGGGGATGTGGGCTAGGCACGGCCCCTCCTGCCCTGCCTGTGGTGACACCCCTGTCACACATCCCATGGCTCAGGGGAATAGGGGAGGGAAGGGGTTAAACACAGGGATGGGTTATCCTTGGGGTGTTCCTTGGCAGAGCCACCATCCCTGCTGCCTCAGCCTGGTCAGGGACAAATTAGTGGGTGGAAAGGGATGTGGCAGGTGGTGTCCAAACACTCCTGGAGGACCCTCAGATGAGCTCAGTTGGTCGTGGTGGGTAATAATGCCTGACCTTGGCATTATTCCCACCACGGCCGAGGGTTTGATCCCACTCAGTTAAGTGTTGGACTTGGTGATCCTTGTGGGTCCCTCCCAACCCAGAATGTTCTGTGGAATCTGTGTGGGATGTGCTCTGCTCCACACACACCAGTGCCTTGAATCACAGACTCACAGGATCACCTGGGCTGGAAAAGACCTCTGAGATCCTCGAGTCCAACCTCCGACCCAACCCCACCTTGTCACCCAGACCATGGCACCGAGAGCCACATCCAGACCCTCCTGAAACACCTCCAGGGACAGTGACTCCACCACCCACCCCGAGCAGCCCCTTCCAGCATCCAGAATAGTTTCCCTCAGCAGGCTCCGGGTGCTGCCTTGGGGCTGGAGACCTTCCCAAGGCGTGGAGGGGGTGGTGCCCTGGGACAGCCGTGCCCTTACCCACGCTGGCCGTCTGGAAGTGGGCCGAGAGGAAGAGGGCGGTGAAGCAGACGGAGGCCGACATGCAGGTGGCGTCCTTCCCGTTCCTCTTGCAGTCCTTGGTGAAGATGTTGATCTTGGAGGGCTCGAAGCGGATGCTGGCGTTGATCTGGACCACGCTGCGGGACCTGTGGGACTGCAGCAGGTTGAGGGATGAGCTGTGGGGCGTCATCCTCGCCCTACAAGTCCCCCACACCTCCAGGTTTGCACTTTTCACACCTTTTTGTGCTTTTGCCCAATGCCAGGAAGGTGCTGAGGAGGAGCAAAGGCCCTTTGTGGGCACACAGCACCCCAGGGTGGCCCATCTCAGCTGGGCACAGCCACCCTCTGTCTCAACAGCTTCAAGGGACTTTCCAAACACCAATCAATGCTTGAAAATATTCAATTCTTATTATAAAATAAGACCAGAGGGAGCCTGGGCAAATCACCACCAATCAATTGGCTGGTTGGAAACTCCTGGAGAATGATGAACTCCTGGAGATGATGAAATGCAGTGCAAAAAAAAAACCAAAACAAACCCTCTGGCATCTTTGCAGGGCCCTACAGGTTGGAAATCCCACAGCCTCAGAGCAAAAATTGAAATCCCACAGCCCCTCCCACCAGACAGGTGGTCATTACTCTGGAGAGAAGGGTCAGACTGTTGGGAAATCAGCTCTGCCTTGAACAGTATGAGAACACTGAGTGAGGTTTGGGCAGGGGGTGCCCAGGGGGGCCCAGCTCACCACAGCAGCACCGCGTTCCCCAGCGAGCCCACGGCCAAGTCCACGAGCCCGTCCTCGTTCAGGTCCAGCTGCCCGTGGATGCTGCACCCAAAATACATCAGGCCTGGAGCGAGGTCAGCAGCTGCAATCCTCTGAAAAGGAATGGGCACAGTCCAGGCTGCAACCTCCCTTCCTGCCAAGGGGCTGCCATGCCAACCTCCACCAGGCTACCGGAGAATCCAAGGGATTGCACCAACTCTAAACTCCCAGAGAATTGGAGAATTTCTCTTTGGAGGCACCATCCAGAGATTTCTGCTGAATTCACTCTGTGTATTTACTGTCTCTCACAAGTGTGAGAAATGAGTAAATAGCAATAAATTCTTTCTTTATGTATTTATTTATAATTAATAAATAAATCTATAGCAATCCCTTGCACCAAGTGCTGAGCATCACCTCGAATTTCAAGCATGTTTTCCATACTTTATAGAGTCATGGGATAATCCAGGTTGGAAAAGCCCTTTAAGGTTGCTGAGTCCAACCATTTCCTCAGCACTGCCAACCACTAACACGTGTTCCCAGGTGCCACATCCACAGGGATGGTGACTCCACCACTGCCCTGGGAAGCCGCTTCCAGGGCTTGAATTCCAGTGCTTTGTCTTGGATGTCTCAGAAGAGGAAATCTCTGGCCACAATAATTAACAATTCAATGCTGCTCCTGCTCTATCAGTCCTTAAAATGGGCATAAACGACAGAAAGGACCAGGACGAGGGAAGCACCTGCTTGTACTTCTTGAGGATGGTCTCTTGGAAGCCCAGGAAGATGTAAATGGCTCCCTGGTGCTCGTCCTCCAGGGGTGCCCCCACCACCAGGTCGTTGTAGGTGTCCTGGTTGAGGTCGGGCACGGCGGCGATGCAGGAGCCGAAGCGCGAGTTCTGGTAACTCTGCAGGTCCACCAGGGCTCCACCGGGAACAAAGCGGTTCTGCCGGGCCAGCCAGAGAGAAAAGGGAGCAAAACAACCCCAAAAACCATCAGCAGCAGCCTGGAAAGAGGAGGAGCCCCTCAAAGATGCATTAATTAATCAATGTGGCAGTGACATTAACCAACGTGGCAGCGATTTCACCGAGGAAGGAGGGGAGAGCACTGCTGGGGCTGTGGGAATTCCTGTGGGACACCTCCCCAGGCAGGGGTGAGCCCCTGAACCCCACACCAGCCCCGTGTCTGCTTTGCCTTCCTTTTGGAACATCCTACATAAATAATGGCCTCAGATGTGTGGTTTGGGGACGGGGACTCCACTGCTTGGGGGTTGGGCTCTGCACCCTTGGATGGAGAACACGACCTGCTCACTGCCTGGGGACCCCCAGAGCCTCATGGGTTTGCCTCAGAAACCGGATTTTGAGTGAGATTTGAGGGTGGCAGGAAAGCTGGTCCTGCCCCAGTGCACCAGGGAAGGGGACAGGGGTGGCACATGTCCCGTCCCCGTGGCAGAGAGACCCACCTTGCCTCTCCCCAGAGCCCCATGCCCTGGGTGCCCTTGGAGGGAACGGGTTTGTGGGAGGTACAGTGGATGGAGATGTTTCTCCAGAGGGACACCACGTTGCAGAGACCCTGTTTTGAGCCCTGTTGGGGCTGGGAGCAGCAGGACCTCACTTTGCACCTCCCGCACCACCACCCGGGATGTCTGATGGGAGCTGGCGGGTGGGGTGGCACAAGGGGACACAGCTGCTATCACAGTGCCCCAAATCCCTGTCCCCTGTCCCAAATCACCCCCTGGTGCTGCCACGTACCTCCTGCAGGGTGTAGACATAGACCTTGCCCCTCTCCCTGCCCTCGCTGAAGTACATGGGGGCTCCCACCAGCAGCACGTCGGTGACGCCGTCGCCGTTGACGTCGAGGGAGTTGATCTCGCTGCCGTAGTAGGAACCGATCTGCAGGAGACAGGAGAGGGTGGGAGCGATGCCACCCCCCCTCGTGGGGACATCCCAAGCCCTGCCCCTGCTCCAGCCCCACAGTTTGGAGCCGTGGGTGCAGTGACACCCTCAGCTGTTGGGACAGTTCGCAAAATGAAGGGTTGATTTTTCCGGGGGAGATAAAATCAGTGCAGCATTCCTGGCAGGCATTACCTGCTCTCCTTTCAGGGCCTGGTGGATGGTGAGGTTCCTGTTGCTGTGCATGCTGAAGAGGATGACCTTCCCCGTGTGGTTGAACCTGGGAGCTCCCGCCACGTAAATCCGCTCGTGCTTGGTGGAAACGACGGAGGAGACGGTGTAACCTGCAAGGGGGGTGGGCACGGCGTGAGAATTCCCAGCTCCTGCTCCCAGGGCCTGCTTTCCATCAGCCCCCAGCTGGTGACACAGCTCTGGCCGCTCCCCAGAGCGGGAAGCTTGGAAAGGCAGATTTTTCCATGGCTTTGGGTCCCCTGCTCAGGTGCTGCCAGGCCTCGGGCAGCACTGCTGTGCCAGGAGTTCTGGCACTGCCTGGAAAAACCCCGTGTAAATCCCTCTTTCATCGAAGGTGAATCCAACTCCTGGACTTTAAAGTGTTTCATTTCATGGCTCACATCAAGTCAAACAGCAGTGGGGTGCTGGGGGCAGGAAAGGGCTTTGCTGATGCAAAATCCTGGTTTTCAACCCCAGCTCCAGGTTTCTGAACCTTCACGCTCAGTTTTAAATGCTGCTTAAATTATTAGAAGTGAAACAGGTTGCCCAGAGAAGCTGTGGCTGCCCCTGGATCCCTGGAAGTGTCCCAGGCCAGGCTGGATGGGGCTTGGAGCAACCTGGGCTGGTGGAAGGTGGCCCTGGCCATGGATCCTTCCAGATCCCTTCCAACCCAAGCCATTCCAGGATTCTATGAAACTCAAAGCTTGACCAGCCATGAAACTGGATGGGATCACCTGGAATCACATCCAGTTGAATTTTGAGTATCCTCAGGGATTATTGGGGTTTACAGACCCCTTTTCCTGGTCACAGGCCTTACCTGGGGTCCCTGTTTCCCTAAATATTCCCCTTTTTGGTGGATACTCCGAAGCCAAACATCAGCTCTGAAATCCCCAGGTGCTGATACACCAGCATTTCCTTAATATTCCCAGATTTCTCACTCCAACTGGTGGGAAAGACAGAGCCCAGCTGAGCTGCCCCACACTGCCATGGGCATCCCTGGAAGACAACTGGGACCCCCAGCCGAGCCTGGGGGACACTCTGCTGTCACCCCACGGATGTCCAGGGGCAGTTTGTGATCCCAGGGAAGGGCCCTGATGTGCTGGCAGGTGACCCCCCAGCACCCCACCCTGCAGGGCAGCCACATCTCTGCAGAGAGCCTTCCTTTTCCCAGCCAGGCTGATATTTTTACTCCAGCCACACATGGAACGGATTAACCCAGCAGGTATTTCCTCCCTAGGCATGAAATTCCATCTCTGCTTTTAAAACATTCCAGGAAGCTCTGTGGATGACCCGGGCTGGCTCTGGCTCAGCTGTCCCTGAATTTAAATCCCTTTTGTGCTGCTCACCAGGCTGGGAGCGGGGCTCTTCCCAGGTGAGGATGCTCCTGGGCTGCATCCCAGAGCCCTCACACCCATGGGATGCAGGCACAGAGCCACTCTGTCATTAGTCACCTCAGGAATATGTTGCTCTTCCCATCATTAAGCACAAAATCCTGAATTCCCCCCCAGCAGCTCTTTCACTGTTCTTACCTAAATACGCCCCGTGATTCTTCAGCTCCTCGGGGAACTCCTGGAGATAAGATTCCCTCAGGGGAATGACCTTCCCACTGCTGGTTTCCTTCAGGACAGCTCCATTCCAGTCGTAGGCTCCCACTGCCCCCAGGAGGATCCCGTCCTGTGGGAGGGCAGGGGGAGCTTGAGGGGATTTCTTGCCAGGTGGAGGTGATTTCCCCCCCTCCCTTCCCCTCCAGACCAGGAAAACCATTCCTAAAGCACACCTGGAGGTTTTCAGACCTGCTGGAATGACGCTTCAACCCCAGTTACAGATTTTCAGGCTGCTTTTCCTCCCTAGGAAAAGCCCTGGACAGAATTCCCTGCTGGCTTTTCTCTGGGCCCTGCCAGAACCTTTGGGGTGGGGGGGCTGAGCATCCCCCTGCACTGCCAAGTGCCTTCCTCCACATCCCAGCATGTCCTTCCCAAGAATTTGTGGCATCAGGAGGAGCAGCTTATGCCTCACATGAGTGATTGAACATCACAATTATTAATCTGCCCCAAATCCCCATCTCCCAGCTGCAGAGGGTGGTGACAACCAGCACAAGGCAGGAGGAACAAAACCCCACATTTACTCTCTTACTTCCACAACGTGTGAGGAAAATCCAGTCTGGGACATTTCCAGGCCAAAGGAGATCTCATTCTTGTTGGTTCCTTAAAAAAAAAAACCAAAAGGGAATTTGTGTTTAATGGGTAGTTTTGTTTCCTGAGGGGGGGTGTCTTTGGTGAGTTGGGGTGGGATGAACACAAAGGAGCTCAACTGACACAAATCCCAATCACAGAACCATGGAATGGTTTGGGTTGGAAGGGACCTTAAAACTCATCCAGTGCCACCCTCTGCCATGGGCAGGGACACCTTCCTCTGGCTCAGGTAGTGACCTTCCACTTTTTCTTCATAATTGCAACTGGGAGAAGCTTCTCATCCAGGGAAATTCTTCCACAGGGAAGCACCAGGCTGGCTGGACTGGCAAACTGGTGGAGAGTTTGGCAAACTGGTCAAACTGGTTTGACCCAAATTCCCCCAACCCCAAGATGTTTAATTTCCAGTGCAAGCCCCCCATCTTCTGCTTCAACTGTTCATGCCAGGCTGCACTTTTCCCATGAAATTCAGACAAATTTAGTTTTGGAGACAGACAAACTTGTCACAAGGCAGACTGAGCTGACATTTGGAACAGAAATATTTCCTGGTATTTAATTTCAGCCAATAAACCAGAAACCCCAACGTTATTCCCATATTTCCAAGGTTTGCCATAAATGCCAAAGCCACCACAGCTGCCGTGCCCAGAATGAGGGGTGTCCTTTGGAGGAGAAGGGATCTGTGCTCCTGACACTCCAGGGATGCAAACCACTCAAAATAAAGATATTTCTTTATATGTGAAGCCATTCCCAGTATGATTGGAGGTTCTGCATTGAACAGATCTTGGGGAACCCCCGATGGGACTCCTTCAAATTCAGCACAGAGAAGATGAACAGCACATTTGCAGCCTGGCTTGGCTGGGAGGTGTCAGGGAGGAGCACCACTCACCTTCCAAGCTAAATATCCTCTCTCCCAGAGCATCCACAATGTCCTTGAGTGCTGCTTCATCCGTGACATTGAAGAAGTGTTTGTCGTCGGGGTCGCTCGCTATGAATTTGATCTCGTTCAAAAAGGCTTCGGGGTTGATTCCTCTTCTGTTGTAATAACCCAGGACCTGGGTGGGGGTAGAAATCCAGGGCTCAGGGGTTTTCATGGAATCATCAGCCCCAGGATGGTTTGGGCTGGGAGGGACCTTATATCTCATCTTGTTCCACACTCTGGCGTGGGCAGGGACACCTCAGGAACAGGGGTCTGTAAGCCCTGATAATCCCTGGAGATACTCAAAATCCTATTGGAATTTTGACTGATTCCAGGTGATCCCATCCGGTTTCATGGTTGGCCATACTTTGAGTTTCACAGAACCCTGGAATGGTTTGGGTTGGAAGGGATCTTAAAGCTCATCCAGTCCCACCCCTGCCATGGGCAGGGACACCTTCCACCAGTCCCAGGTAGCTCCAAACCCCGTCCAGCCTGGCCTTGGACACTTCCAGGGATCCAGGGGCAGCCACAGCTGCAATTTTCACATGATGGATAGAACCATCCCCAAAGCCCCTGAGCGGTGGCCACATGGAAGGATTCCCCATCCTTGACATCTGATACCCGTCCCGTTGTGGGGCCAAACCCTGGAGCTGCTGCAGTTCCTCCAGGCTGGACACCCCTCTGAATCCAGAGCTGAGCATCCCATCCCCCTGCAGAAGCAGCACCAGCCACAGGGATCCCTGGGAACACACTGGGAGAGGTTGTGTTGGGGCTCACGGGGCACCCCCTGTGTGGTTTTTGGGGCCTCTCCCTGCCCAGCTGTGCCCCCACTCACCGCCACCGCGTATCTGGTGACATTGTCCTTCTCGCTGTCCTCGATCACCTTCTCCAGGTCTGGGCTGTCGTGGGACTCTCCATCTGTGATGACAATCATTACTCTCTTTGCCCCTTTCCGGCCACCTTTCTGAAACGCTTCCGAGCTGCAAGTGAAGAGACGCCCTGGGCTGCTCAGCCCTGCCAGGAGGGTCGTGGTGCCAGCCCTGCCCACCTGCAACCCCCTCCCAGCTAGGGCAGGGCCATCAGCAAATGTTTTAGGATGCTAAAAGAGGATTTTTCCGTGGGTGGAGGTGGTTTCTCGCAGGAGAGGGGCCTCAATTCGTCAAAACTGGGCAGCAGGAGGTGCCCTCAGGTTGTGCCAGGGGAGGTTTAGGTTGGGTATTATGGAAAATTGCTTCACCCAAAGGGTGGTCAGACACTGGCACAACTGCCCAGGGCAGTGGTGGAGTCCCCATCCCTGCAGGGGCTTAACAGGCATGTGGATGTGGCACCTGGGGATGTGCAATTTGCAGCAGGAATAACTGGTTGGGATGTGGCAAAAAAAAAGCAGGAGCAGGGACTTGCCCCTGACAAGGGAGGAGATGGAGCTGTGGGTCATGGCTGCAACAAGTTCTGGGCTACCCTACAGTGCCTGGGGGTTGGGAGAGCTCTGCTCTGTGTGCTTTCAGAAAGGGGATCCAATTCCAGAGTCTGCCTCTGCTCCCTCCTTCAGCTCCAGCTCCCACTGGAGGCGGAGCAGTTTTATGGAGCATCATTTTTAAAGCCTTAATTGAGGACCAAACCCCTCTGCAAGAGCATTTTTAGCCTGGTGGCATCACCCACTTTCTAAGCAGCGAGGAACAGCGAAGGCAGGGGGAGGGAAGGCAAAGAAATGGTGATTTCAAGGCTGTGGAAGAGGAAGGGGAGAGGTTTTTACCGAGCAAACTCTATCCCATAGGCTGTCCTGGTCTCTGTGCCTCCCCTCTGCTCTATGTGACTGGCAGCTGCCACCACGTCTTTTACAGACCTGTAGTCATTTAAATGAAACTCATGGACAACATCTTCTCCATACTGAACAACTCCGACCTGGGGATTAAGGGAATATCACAAAGGATGCCAACAACCCCCCCCACAACGAGCTTTGTCAACCACACACCACCATCACCATTAAAATTCCTTCTTTCTGTCCCCATTCACCCCAGTTTTCACTCTCTGGGACCACTAAAAATGCTCAGTTTTATTTCTCTCACCCCTACCCTGCTCTGAAGGTTTGGGGGGATGTCCCAATGTGGACCCACAGCATCTCTGGTGGGACCAAACTGGGGTTATTTGTGCAAATTGTTGGAGATACCCCTGCCCAAATCCCAGCCCAAATCCCTGCCTAAATCCCAGCCCAAATGAGCCCACAATTGCTAACAGGGAGAGCATGGAGAGCTCTTCCCAGATGGAACATGCTGCCTGTATTCCCACGGGGTTGTGCCCGTTGGGATGTGAGGTGTGATCTCTCACTTAGGGACATCAGTGTGAGAATTAAATCCAGGGAATGAGTTAACCCCCCATATTTTGTGCCAAATCAGGCCACATTTCCAGGAAAGGGACACTGAGAAGGCCCACGAGCAGGGCTGGGGGGCTCTGTGTGACATGGGGGGACACACAGGTTGTGCAGGGGCTTACTTGGATCTGGCCGGGACCGATATAGAACTTTTTCAAGATGTTTATCAGGAAGTGCTGCACTTCAACCCAGGGGTAGATGCTGTTGGATCCATCCAGAACGATGATGATGTCCATGTAGGTCTGGCATCCTGTGGAAAATGCAGGGTATTACTGAGACACCTCAGTGGTGCTTGTGAAGGGGAGATTTACGGCTTCGCTCCCAGCCAGGTGCTTGCTCTGATGATTTATTTGAAAATAAAGCTGATTTCAATCACTCAGAAAGAGCCCTGGGCTCCAGCAAGGTGGAGAGAAGCCACAAGAATCCTCTCTGCTGGGCAAAATGGGATCACTTTCTAAGAATAACACTCAGTGGCATCTTTCCTGATTCAGATTCGGGGCTTTTATCCGGTCTAACAGAATTCCACACTTCAAAGAGCAGCGGGATCCGGCCCCTGCTCTCCCCACAGACCGTGCCTTGCTCCTGAGTCACTGCTCAGCCCTGCCTGCTCTCCCAGCCAGCACCACTCGGGCATTTCCTCCCTTCCCACTAAATCCTCAGTGAGGAGGCAGCCAAAAAAACCCCAGTGAGGACCCCAGGGCTCGGCTGTGCAGCACGAGCCATGAAGGATTAAGGCAGCAGAGCGGTTTCCAGTGGGGAAAATTGCTCAGCATCGTCTCTGTTTTGCTTACATTTTATAACATCCCTTGGAAAAGGGGCAGAAAAGCAGATGAAGCTGAATTTCCCAGTGACAGATATTTGCCAGCTGCTTTTTTTCAGGGCTTTCACGGGTTAGAGCACCAACAGATTTGAGTCACCCACCCATGGGTCACTCCATCCCTGTGGTCCTCAGCTGGGTGTCACCATCCCAATCCCAGTCTCACCCTGGCAGCCAGGGAAAGGAGCTGACCCCCTGCATCCCACTTACTACATGATAACAGCCTCTAAACCTCCCTAAAATCCCAATTATCCTTTGCAGAAGGGCTAAAACACCTCCTGGCCATGAAGGGGGAAGTGACACTGAGAGTTTGGTGGTGGGCTCTGCCTCTACTGCCTTGCTCACCCCAAAGTCCCATTTTCCCAAGCCCCTCTCTCTTCCATGGGAATTAATCCACACCAGAGGGGTGATGGAGGTTGGGAATCAAATCCTGTGCCCAGCTGGGAAAAGGAGCTTCCAGGAGCACTGTCAGGGCTTCTGCAATTCCTGCCACCCTCAGGAAAGGCAGGGAGCTTTCTCAAGACCTCAAAAATAAAGTCACGTCTCCCAGTGTCCAAATTCGGGCCAACTCCTTTCTCTTCCAGTCAATGAGAGCTTTGTTTTGTGTGGCCAAGTCCGAATTCTTTCCCTATTTTGCCTTCTGATAAAATATTCTGGATACTTTTATCCCTGGCTTTGGAAGAAAAAGGTATCTTTTTGTCTTCCCTGGGTGTCAGTCAGGAGGGAAATGTTTCCCAGATGTCTGTGGACGTGACCCCCTCGGAATCACTTCCCTGCAGCCACTTCCTCCGCTCTCCTGCCTGGCTCGAGCACTGGCACGGTTTGTTTTCTGCCTGGCACCGGAGGGATGAGGGAGCAGAGGCTCCCTCTGCCCCCAGAGCCGGGCTCAGGGCTCAGGGCACGGGGTTCTCACTCTGCAGAGCCGGAGCCACCGTCTTGGAGAACCTGAAGTTGGAGTTGACGCGGGAGCACATGCCGGTGGTGTAGTAGGAGCTCCCGCACTCGTGGGACCAGAGGGGGCTGCAGGCCTGGGGAAACATTGGCAGGGGTTAGAATGGCACTTCATCACTGATGGGTTGTCCCCTCCTTCAGCATCTTTGTCCCCATAGGAGGTGATTTTTTTGGAACTCTTTGGTGCATGAAATGTGGAATCTTGGGATGGAGGGGTCCTTAAAGCCCATCAGTCCCACCCATGCCATGGGCAGGGACAGCTTCCAGCAGCCCATGCTGCTCCAAACCCTGTCCAACCTGGTCTTGGATATGTCCAGGGATGGGGAGTCCACAAATATATATATATATATATAAAATATATATATATATCTGTGTGTGTATATGTGTGTGCATATATATGTTTATATATATATGTGTAGGTATATTTATATTTGTATAAATAATAGAATATATGTAACTCATAAAAATTATATGTCACATATAAATATATAAAAATCTAAACCTAAAGGTACTAATATATTTACATAAATATATATGAATATAAAATACATAAAGATATGAGTTCTATATTCTATTACAAATATAAATATATATTTCTATTTATATATAATAGGATATACCCAATTCATATATAATATATAAATATATATTGAATAAATATATTTAAATATATGAATTGTACATTCTATCATGCATATATATACTTCTATTTATATATAATAGGATATACCCAATTCATATATTATTGGATATACATATATTAAAATATATATTTAATATAATATATATAATGTATATTATATATATTGTATTATATATATTTAATAGATACATATATAGAGAGATACTAATTCTATATTCTATTATGTATATGAATATATATTTATATATATTTCTATATATAAAAAGATATATACAATTCATATATAATATAAAATATATATTGAATATATAAATATATATAAATATATGGACTGTATATTCTATCATGCATTTATATATATTTCTATTTATATATAATAGTATATACAAAATTTATATATTATATATATTTATCTATAATAGAACACATATAATTAATACATAAAATGCTATATATACACACATATATGTAAGATAGAATCATGGAATATCCTGAGTTGGAAGGGAACTACAAGGATCAGTAAAGATCAACTCCTTATTTTTATATAGAGAGATATATATATAAATATATATATATATATATAAAATATAGACATATAAACAGAGAGGAGCACCCTGCTGCCTGTCCATGCTGACATACACACACCCCACAGCAATCCCCCTCCCAGGCTGCCCCAAGGCCCCCAGTCCCTCACCAGAAAGCTGTTGTCCCTGGGGTTGGTGGCCAGACTGAGCCCCAGGCGCATGTTGTCCTTCCTCTCGGAGACGTTGGAGAGCGTCACCCGGCCTGGGGAGAGAGGAGCTGGTCAGGGACAACCCTGCAGAGAGCTCAGGCAGAAACCCCTGTGAGGGGCTCAGTCTCCTCCTGGACTGCCAGGCCAGCAGGTGTTGAGTGGCTGATCCATCTGCCAGAGCCCAGGAGATGGGAATGGCCCCAGGGCAGCCCCGTGTCCCTGTTCCTCCAGTGTCACTGAGCTGGGACCCAAACGCTGCCCCATCCAGCCATTCCTCTGCCCAGAGCTCTGGGACAAGCAGGTCCTCCCAATCCAGGGCTGCCCCTTTGCTGCTTTGCCTGAAAAGTAAACTGGGAATCATGGAAACGTGGAATGTTTGGATTGGAATCACCTCAAAACCCATCTCATTGCACCCCCAGGGACACCTCCCACTATTCCAGGTTGTTCCAGCCTGGCCTTGGACACTTCCAGGGATCCAGGGGCAGCCACAGCTTCTCTGGTCAACTGTGCCAGGGCCTCATTCCCCTCACAGCCAACAATTCCTTCCCAATATCCCACCTAACCCTGCCCTCTGGCAGTGGGAAGCCATTCCCTGTGTCCTGTCCCTCCAGGCCCTTGTCCAAAGGAAAAAAGAAGGAGGAAATCAGGCAATTAATGGTAAAACTGGGGCTTGGTTTCATTGCTTGTGGCCTTTGCAAGTCTTTTAGAATCACGAAATTATTTGGGTTGGAAAAGGCCTTCGAGACCATCCACCAGCCCAACCATCCCACAGCACTGCCAAGGTCACCACTCACCCACGTCCCCAGGTGCCACATCCACGGGGCTTTTAAATCCCCCCAGGAATGGGGACTCCACCACTGCCCTGGGTGGCTGTGCCAGGGCTGGACAACCTTTTTCTTTGAAGAAATGTTTCCTAATATCCAACCCAAACCTCCCCTGGTGGAACCAGAGGCTGTTTCCTCTCGCTGAGGTTTGAACCGACCCCAGATCTCCAACCTGGAGCTTGAAGGAGCTCAGCCTGAAGCTGAGCAGGTTCCAACCACCCCTTGTTTGTCCCTGGGGACCAGCTGCAGCTCTGGCTTCCATCTGAACCCCCTGAGCTTGATTCAACACAGATCTGCAGCAAATCCTAGAAAAAAAAGGGGCTTTATCCCATGTCCTGAGTCCTTCAGGATCCTGGCTGTCAGTGCAGCCACCCCACTGGATGTGACACCTTGGGATCACAGCTCTCCATGGGCACCAGGATGTTCCTGCTCCTGCTGCCACCTCAGGGAGGGAGGACAAGGGCAGATCCCTGCTCCCACATCACCTCCAGCTTGGCATCCCCTCAGGGCAGCTCCCATCTGGTTCCACTCAGAAGGCCCCAGTGGACTGTGCTCACTAGACAAGTTGATTTGGAACAAAACAAAATAGGATGTGCTCATGGAGCTGGTCTTGTCATTTGGAGCTCCCTCCCAGTGGAAAAAAAAAGAGATTGCTTTTTAGCAGGATTCAAATTCACACACACACGAGATTTGTTTCCTAGAAGAGTCTCGGTGTTGTCATCCCAAATAATGAAAACAAAAAGGAGAAAAGAAAACAATGGTTAAAAAAGAAATATTTGGAGCCAATCAATCAAATGTTGCAGATGATTCAAAGTTCCCCCTCTCTTATCAGATCTGGTAGAAACCCAGGACAGTTGAGATTCATAATGATGAAAAATAAAGTGAGAGCAGCAGCTGCTCCAGCTGCTCCAGTGTTAAAAACCCCAGATCTTGCCCCAAACCTCAGTGAAGCTCCTCGGGACCATGAGAAAGTTCCTGGCTCTCACATTCCCTGCTGAGACAGGGATGTGCCTGTGGGGTGTCCCAGTCTGGGCAGAAAAGGGGACTTGTCTGCTCCGACTCGGGGACGGCACATCCCAAAATCCTGACATTTGCCTTTGGTGCTGGACCAGCCCGGGAAACCCCGGGGAAGGTCTTGCTTGCTCCACCCAGGGAGGTGGGATTGGGATATCAGCAGGACTGGAGCACCCCCAGGGCCTCTCCTGCTGCAGCAGCACTGCTGGGGCCCAGGGGTGGTGTGGCTGGGTGACAATTCCCAAAACACCACAGGGCCAGGCTGGGTCCTGGGAACAAAACTTGCCTGTGCCCAGGGAACCATCTGAGATGGGCACATTGTCCAAGCATCCCTGGGGAGGGAATACAGATACTTGTGGGACCATTATCCATTGAAAAGTTTATCCTGATCATGTAATAAACCAGTGTAAGCTATATTAAATAATTAACATTTTTTACTCTATTCCAATTTGCTCATTTTTGCCCTGACACTGCCTAAAGCTCAGCACCAGGAACAACGTGAACTCCCAAAATAATTCCTTAACCAAAAATCCTCCCCAAAACACTCAGACCTCGCACTTTTAGGGCAACACAACCAGGTCTATCTTTGCAGACCAAGCCCCAAACCCCTGACAAAAATCACCCCACGATTTTTGAGCACGTGAAGGACCCCCTGGGGCTGTACCTAGGTTGAGTTTGGTGCAGTTGCTGTGGCTGTCGCTGGTCACTGGACACTTGTAGACATCTCCAGTCTTCTGCTGGCCGTTGGTCTCGTAGGGAGCTCCCACCACCAGCCTGGGGAAAGAGGGGTCTGTCAGTGCCCAGAGGGTGAGAAAACCCCCTGGGAAAAAGGGATCCCCCAGCCCAAATCCCCTGCTCGTGGTTTGGGGGGTGTCAGCAGGGTGAGGGTCCCTTCCTGGGGGACACTGAGGTTCCCCCATCCTGGCTCAGTGCAAGCACCATTTCCCCTTCCCATGGGAACAGGCAGGAATAAGCTGGAGCTCTGGAATTAATGCCCATCCCCTGGAACGGGGCTGAACAGATGCCTGGAAGGGAGTGAGGCCTCCAAAACCACCTGGAAGCACAGGAAGGAGCAGGGACCCCCATCAGCAGCTCATGGCCAGCACCAAACCCCTCAGCATCCCCTGAGGTGTCCCCCTGGGCACCGGCCCTGGGTAGGGGGGACACATCATCCCCTCTCACTGCTGATCACAGAGGAGCCTTCCCATGGAACCAGGAATGGTTTGGGGTGGAAGGGACCTCAAGGATCATCTCGTCCCACCCCCTGCCACGGGCAGGGACACCTCCCACCTCATACCAAGAGTGCCTTCAGGACAGGGATGTGTCCAAAGTCCTGCCCAACAGAACCCAGAGGAGCTGGGAGAGCACTTACAGCCACTCACAGCGGGACCCACAAGGAACTTTCCCCACCAAAAAGCTGACAAAGGGAATTTGCTCTGACCTGGGGTTGTTAAAAAGAGCCCAGAGCCAAACATCTGGATCTCCAGGGGTAGGTGAGGACACTGGGCATTAATCTGCTCTTTAAAATAAGAGCTGATAAAAATCCATGCACCCACCAAAGACACAGGTCTCTAGTCTGGGCGTATCTGGGACATCACAAACATTTTCCTCACTTTTTCTTCTTCTGGACCTGACCACAAAACCAGCAGAGCAAAGGAGGAAGGGAGCAGGACCTGAGGAATTTGCCCATTCCTTCCAGGCTGGTTCAAAAATACCCAGAACCACGAGTTATTGGCATCTTCTGCTCCAAATGTGTCGGCCCAAAATAAATCTGATTTTTTTTCCTTTGCTTTCAAAATCCTATCTGTGGATTCAACTGTCCGAGTGTGGATCTCCAGATAAAACAGGACCTCTTTTGTTCCACACAGCCCTTCCCAGCAGCTGGCAAAGCCACTGGCCCAGCACAGATGTTCCCTGTTAGACCAGAAATGGTCATTTTTTTTCTTCAGTGTTGCCTCTACAAAGACACTAAACACTCATTCTTTTATTCCATCACTATGAAAGGGAATTGCTCACCAAAGGAAAAGCTCCAAAATCCACGGATTCTCATGGAAACACTTCCTGTCTTACAGCCCTGGTGTTAACGAGGGGATTAATTGCAGCAGGGCAGTGTCCATCTGGAGCTGTCAGCATCCAGAACCCTGGGGAAGTCTGGAACCTTCTCCCAGGAGTTTGCTCGTGTCCCTCAGCCTCTGTCCCACCATCAGTGTCCAATGCTGGTGGCCAGAGAGGAGGGGGAAGGTGGAAGATGAAGAAGGGTGTGGGAGGGGGAGAGAAAAAGACCTTGAAGGCCTAAAGGGATAAAGGTCGAGACCCCTCAGAGAGTGATGTTCTCACTGTGGAATTCTTCATTCCCGAAGAATTTAACAGAAATGGGATTTAACATGAACTTCTGGAAGGAAAGCTGCAGGAAATCCCATCAGAGGCTTTCCCATTAGTTAATATTCACAGATTAATGTTGTCACACCACCCCATAACAAACATTCCTGCACACCACTGGTTAGAGGGTGGAAGGGTCCCTTACAACAAAGATGGTGCTGAGGACAACCCACCCATCCCCCAAATCTCCAGTTCTGTCAGGCCTGGGAGCTCAAAGGGAACCCAAATATTTCCAGCCTGTGCCATGAAGGCAAAGGGGCCGTGGACTCACGAAACCGGAATTCTCGTCTCCCCAAGACAATGGCATTGTTTCCCTTTTTGGTTCAACTGGAATGATTCATTAGCTGAGGCTGTCAAACCCTCATGGAAACTTGGCAGCCTGGGAAAAGGCTTTTCCAGCTGTTTGGAAGGTGCTGCTGCAGGGATGCTGCTCCACTCACCAGCTCCAGCCTCTGCCTGTACTGGGTGGTTTGCAGCCCTGTGCTTTAAATGGGGTTTTTTTCCTTAAAAAGAAATAAAACCCCCATCCCAAGTGCCCCAAATAACCCAAAATACTGGAATGACCCAGATCACCCAAATAACCCAAATCACCCCAATATCCCAAATCACACCCCACTAACCCAAAATACTCAAATAAGCCAGATCACCCAAAATCAACCCAATAACCCAAAATATTCAAATAACCCAGATCACCCAAAATCAACCCAATAACCCAAAATACTCAAATAAGCCAGATCACTCAAAGCACCCAAATCACCCAGATAATCCAGATCACTCAAATAATCCAAATCACCCAGACAACCCAAATATCCCAAATCAACCAAATATCCCAAATCACCCAAAGAACCCAGATCACCCAAACCATCCAGATCACCCAAATAACCCAAAATACTCAAATACTCCAGATCATCCAAAGCACCCAAACCATCCAGATCACCCAAATAATCCACATCATCCAAATAACCCCAAATCACTCAAATCACCCAAAATACTCAAAACACCCAAATAACCTAAAACACCCAGATTACCTCAACAATCAAAACCATCTGGAGCATCCTGCTGCAGCAGGGAGCCATTCCTCATTCCATCCCAGCTCTCCCCCTCCCCACACCCCCCTCACACCCTTGGGTGATCCCAAACCTCCCCCTGGCGCTCCCTGGGACTTTACAACGAGCCCTCCTGGCTCTGCAAGGAGCCCTCACGTCACGCCTTGGCTCGGACAAGAAGCTTTAAAAGCAAACCAGAAGCAAACAAGCCCTCCCTCGCCTTCCTTTTCATGCCCTGCTCTTGGGGAAAACAAAAGGGAAAAAAATAAAAAGAGGGATTAAGTGGGAAAAGCACAGACTGCTCACAGCAACATGTCTGAGCACATATTTTTAACTTTCATCCCGGGGAAAATATGAAAAGAGGGAAACCAGGCTGTTGGTGGAAATACCAGAGGATCTCAAGTGCTTTGTGCTGGGTCCTGCTTGTCCTGCCAGGGCTGGGAATGGCATGGATGGCTGTGTCCATTGGTGCAGGCTCACAGCAAACAGGGAATCAGGGAATCATGGAATGGTTTGGGTTGGAAGGGACCTTAAATCCCATCCAGTCCCACCCCCTGCCACGGGCAGGGACACCTCCCACCAGCCCAGGTTGCTCCAAGCCCCGTCCAACCTGGCCTGGAACATTCCAGGGATGGGGCAGCCACAGCTTCTCTGGATAAAATTGATGTGCCAGGATCAATTTGCATCTTTTTGCACCTTTTTTAAATGACTTTGTTACACATGCACAGATTAAAATCACAGACATTCAGGACTGTTGAGTTATTGGGGTACTTTTTAACTCTCAGTGTCAAAACCTTTCCTGGTGGAATTCCCTGTGTCACAGCCATTCATTCACATCACTTACCTTGGTACTGAACCTGACAAATTAGCTTTGGCTGGATCCTACCTCCTGGAAAAACATCCTCCCCTGATTTGAAGGCAGCTTTTGAAGGCATCCCGATGGAGAAGCCAAATTGTCCAGCACTTTCCCCTGTATTCACCAGCACCTTCACCTGGATGGAGCTCAGACCCTCACTCCAGGTCCTCCAGAGACCCCAGAGCTTTTTGCATCCAGCAAATTCCTGATTTTTGAAGGGAATGACCCCTTTGGCTCCGCTCACGCCCTGGGTGTGCTGTGGGGAGGTTGCAAAGCTCATTTTGAGCCTGAAGGTATTTTGATTAAATGAAAAGACCTCAGGAGAGGAAGGTATGTCTGGAGATGAGGGAATGTGGGGATCAGGGAGGAACGCAGGAGCCACTCTGCTTTTCACAGGACTTTTCAATCAGTGGGACACTTAATCTCCTGCGAGGCAAATTCACTTGCAGTTAATTTATTCAAGATGGAACTGGATGAAGAAGTGATTAAGGAGGTTCAGGAAAGAGAGAGTTCAGCTGTGGAAAACTTTAAGTGAGATTGGAGCGCCTTGGAGGGACTGGGACAGAGGGATGGACTTCCAAATGTTTTCCTCCACACTGGTCAGGGTGGAAAAACACCAACAGTGGGAGTCCAGGGAGAGGCAGAAATGGTGGAGGAGTCCACAAGGTGGAGGATCTGGGACCTGAAAATGAGTCCTGAGTTTTCCAGCAGCTTCTGGGCAGCCTCCAGCTAATCATTTGATCAATCTGAGGTTATTTTTCTGGGTTTTAAGCCACCTGAAGAGCACAGGCATCATGAGATGGCTCTGCTGGTGCTGAGGATCCCACCGGCCGCTCCGGCCAGTTCTGCTCACCACGAGCACAGAAAACTCGTGTACTGGTGACCCAGGGCCACCAGAGAACCACTCGTGGCACCAGCAGCTGTGGCTGAGAGCTGGGCAACCTCCAACAGGTCTCAGAGAGGGAGTTTGGGTTGGTGGTTGTTGCTTTATCAAACCAGGTCCTTCCCTCGGCAGTGCCCGACGTCCCTCAGGCCGCTCTGGGATGGATCTTCTCCAGCACCACCTCTGGGCTGACTCACAGCCAGACAGCCATCATTTACTGGTGGGTTTAGGGGATGCAAGATGGGTTTTACCCACTGAATACCTGGTAAACCATCCCTTGGCAGAAGCATTCGCTGTGGAGCCATCAGAGCTTCCCTCTCGCTCCCAAGTCTCCCTGTGCTCTCCAAACTGCCCCAGTTAATCCACAGCCTGCAAAGTACAGAGCACAGAGCTCCATCCCCGTACCTGGTGAGTTTTAGGGGATTTATTTCCCCCCCAAAAAATCAGTAAATCCTCGTTTTGAAGTTTGGGTCCCACTGACCCTGCAGCGCCCCAGCTCTAAGCCCTGGGCACGAGCTTTGTCCCCACCCCTGTCCCCTCCACGTGCCACCAACATCCACAAGCACCCTGGGCCGTTGCTTTTTGAAGGCTGCTCGGTGTTTTCTGCCCT